AAAGTGGCTGAAGGTTTGTCTCATGTGGGATGAAATCAGCTGAAAGTGGCCGATGGTTTGTCTCATGTGGGATGAAATCAGCTGAAAGTGGCTGAAGGTTTGTCACATGGAGTGTCATGTTTCATAAATGTAAACTCTGAAACGTCCCTGAGGTCATTTAACACAAGAAGACCCAAGTAGCTGAAGGTTTTCAGCTGAAATGTTGGAATATTAATACATTTATGCTCATTTGAGATCAAATCAAGACGATCTATGAGGATTTTGTCTTTTATGACACTTTGAAATGAGAATTAAACATTTTAAAGCTTGCAGATAGAGGGTTTTATCTGCGTTATATTTAATTTGAACTAATAGTTTTAAAGGAAAACATCCTGAGTGATGAGCTGAAGATGAGCTGAAGATGAGCTGAGCTCCACCTGGTCTTCGTCAAATTATTTATAAGAACATGAAAAGAACAAACACTGAGCGCTGCAGCTCACACAAATCATGAAAACAAGAAAACACAAAGGAAAGATGAATAAAGTTCAAATATGGAACTTGAACCTGAAGCTGAGTTTGAGTCCACGTGAACTCACTTCCTGTTTCTGTCAGGTGACTTCCTGGGGTCAGAACTTACTCTGAGTGTTTTTGTTTCCAGCTGGCTGGATAATCATCCAGATGCTGCAGGAGTCAGATTTGTTTTCAGGAAGATTTTTGTGTTGTGCACAGGAAGTGATCAGAGCTCAGCACAGGAAGTGATCAGGTGTGACATGGCACACCTGACTCCCTCCACCCGCCTGCTGCAGCACGATTCTCTTACCATCGGCTCCCCGTCACTGAAATGTGAGCTTCTCTGAGGTTTTATTTATAAACCTCATGTAAACAACAAGTCATCTGAAACATATTTACCCAGAATCCTTCAGTGCGCTGCACCAAGACGCGTCTTTAAAAAGCTCGTTAAAAATAAGAGACTCTGAGGATGCTCACACCCTGAGAATACTCTGAAGGAAACAGCATGAGTGGACTTATGAACGTAAAGCGAGTCAGTAAAAATCAACGTCCCTCCGGCAGGAGCTGAACTCTGAGGGATTCTGGGAAATAAGAAGCGTCCTCACCCATGTCCTTCTTCACGATGTTGTAGAAGATGCCGCCCTGCTGGAACAAGTGCGGCAGCTTCTTGGCGTACGACCAAACGTCCTCACCTGGAACAGAAATTAAATTTAACATTTAACACCCGGACCAACGACGTCAACGTTAAAAATAAAGTGCACTTTCTGAGATTCTACTCAAAACAAGATCAACAACTCACAGATTTTATTACGGTTATTATCCAACGTTTAGAACTCTTCCAGGTTAGTCCTGATCAGAAAACACAACTCAACCATCCAACCAGCCAACCAAACATCCAACCAACATCCAACCAACCAGTCCCGATCAGAAAACACAAC